GTCTACATTCCCACCAAGTATAGTAGGGTTCCCTTTTCTACACATCCTTGCCAATATTTATTATTTCTCGTCTTTTTGACATATGTCATTCTCACCATGTGAGAATGGTTTTTTTTTTTTAAAGTCTTTTTTTTTTTTTATATAGATGCATGTTTTATTTATTTATTTGTTTGTTTGTTTTTTTGTTTATACATGCACTGGGTACAGTCAGAAGCGCGGGAGGGTGAGAGAATTCACCAGAGCCAGAGCAGGGAGCAGAACAGGAAGAAGGACCGAAGTACACTGCTGAGGGGAGCAGCGGGCAGCAGGAGAGGTCTGCACGCCATGTGGGACCCTCCTCCAGTGGCCGGGGAGCAGCCGGGGATCGAACCGGTGCCGCAGAGGCCGCGGGCAGCTTCACAACCCAGCGCTCAACCGCTGCGCCACCGGGGAGGCCCGAGAATGGTCTTGATTTGCGTTTTCTTGATGGTAAATGATGATGTACATTTTTTCATGTGCCTGTTTGCCACTTGTATACCTTCCTTGGGGAAATGCCCATTTAATTCTTCTGCCCATTTTTTGATTAGGTTCTTTTCTTTTTGTTGAGTTGGATGAGCTCTTTGAAGATCTTACACATCAGTCCCTTGTCATATGCATGGTGTGTATGTATTTTCTCCTACTCAGTCGGGTGTATTTTCATTTTGGGTGTGTTTTCTTTTTCACTGTGCAGAAGCTTTTTAGTTTAATATAGTCTCAGTATTTATACTCTCTCTTTTTTTTCTTGATTTTGCAGGTGAACCCAGAAAAGGCATCAAGGAAGCTTGTGTTGTAGTTTTTGCCTGTGGTTTTTCTTCTATGTGTTTTGTAGTTCCCAGTCTTATATCCAAGTTTTTCAGCCATCTTGATTTGGTTTTTGTGTAGAGTGTGAGATCATGGTCTAGTTTCATTTTTTTCCCATGTGGCTGTCAAGTTTTCCCAGCATTATTTATTGAAGAGGATTTCCTAATTCCAGTGTTCTTGGCTCTTTTGGTAAAAATTAATTGTCTGTGAAGGGTGTGAATTTATTTCTGAGTTCTCAATTCTATTCCATTGGTCTCTGTCTGGTTTGTTTTTTTTTTTTTTTTCAGTACCATGCTGCTTTAATAATTATGGCTTTATAGTACAGTTTGAAGTCTGGAAGTACAGTGACTCCATTCTTCCTCTTTTTTGTCAGGATTGTGTTTGTTATCTGGGGTCTTTTGCCTCACCTGAATCTTATGCTATCACTTGAAGCCGAGAACACAGACAAGAAGCCTACTCAGTAAAATTCCAATATACATTGACCTGTCTTGAGCACATCCTTCATCATAAAAAACAAAGTTGCCACTGGTAACAATATCCATATATAATATCTATAGCTACAAACTGAAGGCCAATCTTTAGATGCGTATTGTCCAACCATCAGTGCCTCATCCTTCTCTTTGGTGTTTTCCATACAAATATTGCAAACTCTCTTTTAATTAACAACATGAATCTAGCATTCCAGATAACACCTATTACCCATCTCTACTTAATTTGGAATATAATGTCCCCTGAAATTCCTCTCTCTGACTCTCCCCATCCACATGGACACTGGCTACAGCTGATTCGTGCAGCGGTGGGCCCCTGACCAATACTGGGTTATTTTTATATCTCCAGGATTTTACACTAGAACTGAGAAAAAGCAAGTCAATTTTTTCTCTGTGTGTGCGTTCTCTCTCTCTCTCTCTCTCTCTCTCTCTCTCTCTCTCTCTCTCTCTCTCTCTCTCTTAAAAAACAGAAACCAAGTGCATGTAAACTCAGGAGCAATTGTGGACCACATACTGTCTTGTGGACTGACAAGCAGGAAATAGCAGTCAACTGTGAGAAAGAAGACTGATAAAGACAGATGGAGAGCTCTACAGTGTGGCATGCTGACAATCTTACACATCTCTACATAAGCGAGACAGAATGTGTCTTGGCAGAATGCCTTGTGGTTTCTCCAGGCCTAAGAACAGATAAGCAGCCTGGCAAGGAGCTACAGAGAGGCAGTTTCTTTCCCATTATCTTGTGGAAGGTTGCCACAGGCCACTTCTCATCCATCTCCCTCGTTTCAGTTGAGAACAGTAATTTCCACCTCACTCCCACCAAGGATACAATTACAGACTTCAGCATAAATCTATATAACTGCTTGGCTGGGTTCTGAGGTTGCTCTAAAGCAAGAGGAACCCCTGCTCATGTGGGCTATCTTCTGGCTTCAGTTTGATGTCTGTGGAACAAGGGACAAAGGGAACTGACATAGTCTTGACTCTTGGTGTCGTGTAAGTAATTAACTGTCTGAATCCATTTGAGTGATTTCAGTCCTTATCAGATTATGGAAGTTACAACAAGCCATCCTAACAGTTGTAATAGAAATACTTATGAGCCACAGTCTTGCTGCCTTGGTAATGCTTAGCCATTTGACAGAGAAGTAAGAGATGGCACATTTTTACTCTGAGTTCCCTTCGGTCTCCAGCCCAGTTCCACTCTGTTCCAGGAATGGCATCCCAAACCTTGGGATTTCTCCAATAAACCTCCCAACTCTTTTGTTTTTTACTTTAAGAAAGTCAGAATGTATTTTTAACCTTTACTACCAAATGATTATACACAGATATTGCATTTGATGACAGCATCAGTAATTAAAATTCCAGTGAGATTCAAGTGTATTTTCGATGTTTATTAAAATTCTACCTCTCTTGAATACTGATATCTTTTTTACTTTTGGCATAGTAAATGTAATATTATTAGCCTGCACTTATTAAAGCCCAATAAATATAAAGTTTTATAAAAATTGAACAAGGAGAAGATAAGCAGAAAGAAAAAGAAAAATACCGGATGGTCTCAAATCATAACAGGAATCTAGAAAACCTAAATAAGGGACTAGGAAAAAGAACAACTATAAGAAAGAAAAAAATCAGAATCAACAACTATGAACCAGAGACACACTTTGGGGGGGCCGGGAAAGGAGGGATTTGGGTCAAAATCAGGGGGTTGCAATTGTATGGGGAATATAAAAATAAAATAAATAAATAAATAACAAAACAAAAAAATTGAACAAGGGGAAGATAATATGACTTCACTATGACAAAAGTAAAAATTATTCTCATCATTGGGTCTCTCTGGTGGCGCAGGGGTTAAAGACTCAGCTCTATCAAGCTATCTCCAGCCACTGAGGCACGAGTTCGCTCCACCACCAGAGAGCTAACCCACATGGCACAGCAGACTTTTCCTGTCTTGCCTGCTGCTCCCCTCAGCAGTGTATTTCAGTCAGTCTGCCTGTTCTATTCCCTACTCTGTCTCTGGTGAATCCTCTCACCCCCTGGACCTCTGCACCTCTGGCGTACACCCCAATTCTTATATGCATAATAAATAAAAATAAATCTTTTTTAAAAATTATTCTCATCATTGATCAATAATTTCATACCAATTACATAAATCATCTCTGTTACTACTATATTTAACTTACCTTACAAATGTACTGATTTGCCTTTATATTAGTTACAATTGTAAAAATACAGGAGGGACTCAGGTATTATATGTGTGCCAAGTGCCAACTCACAAAACAGACTAAGCAAAATTAGAGTTTGATCTACTTTCAACACCTCTTGAGTTTAGTTATATCTAATACACAGGATGATCTTCCAATCCAATATAAGGATGCTTATGCATCATTTCTCATAGGCTCACCAACTAGCCTCACTTTCCTGTTGGACCCCCTGAGTTTTCTTTGATCAGGATCATGGTCTGCATAAATAGACTCAGCGACAGCTGAAGAGTCTTAAGTGTTGTGAGATTTGACCAAAATGGTGAATAAACTGGTGTAAATTCATCATCACCACTGGGGAACAACTAAAAAAGTAGACAGTGAGGCCCCTGACATCATCATAATACATGGAGACAACGCAATCACATGTAAGAAATGAATACCCAGATTGCCATTTAATGAAATATCATCTTCAGGAAAGTGTACAGGTTATAAGTGACACATCTGACTGTGGTACCCCCATGAGATACAAATATCTGTGCCAAATATAATATGATAACTAGTCATAATTTGTACTACCCCTTTATAAAAAGTCCAAATTGTTTGAAAATAAATTTTACTAGTCAGTTTAGTCATTGTCTAAATATGATTTAATAGCATCACCATAATATAATTTAATAAGAGAATACATTTATAAAAATCTTTTATGGTGATGAATGAATTATGGCAATTATCTTACATAATTACAATAAAACTGCACCACCGTATGGAAGACCATGGCTCAATGAACTCCTCATTGATATCTCAAGATATATTCACATAACATCATCTCAAAAGGTAGTAACCTTCTAGCCGCACCTGGTAATTACATCCAAGAGTAGTTTCTTTTATAACAGATTTTTTTCCTAACGGTTTTCTGACAGTGTACTCTCCATGAATTCATGTGAACCTATCACAGCAAAACAAAGGTGTTTATACCCGTTAACATATCCATTTAATTTTAATATACCCATTTAAGGCAGCAACAGCCCAGGCAAGCAGAGCACGCAGCAGACCTGCGGAGCCGGGGGGGGGGGGGGGGGGGGGGGGGGGGGGGGGGGGGGGGGGGGGGGGCACCCCGTTTACAAAGCGCCCCGGAGTTACGGAAGATGGGCGCTAACTCCCAAGAGGCTCCAATTGATAGCAACACTACTTTTTCTCACGGAAACTGGACCATTTCCAAATACAACAGGCAAAAAGGCCTTGTCAAAGTCGCAGGCCTTGGGGCTGCCTGCTTTGCTTTTCAGGCTAGGAACCGACGAGCCCGGGAACCCGAGCGCGGGGGCGCGGACGCCGCGGCCACTTTATCCGGGGCACCGGGCACCCGCGCGCCCGCGCGGCCGGGCTCGGGCTCGGCGCCCCAGAGTGGAATTCCGAGAAGGCGCCTTGGGAAACTTGTCTGAGAAGCGTTCCCCAAACAGGTGAAAGGGAAAGTAGCCCCAGGCGGGGCGGCCTTACTTACCCGCGGAACCGCCGGCCAGGATCTGCCGAGAAGCCTCGCTGGCGAAGCTGACCCCGGGCTTGGCGGACATCTTCGCCGGCCCCCGACGACGGTGCGGGCTGAGGCGAAGGGGCCGGGGCCGGCCTGGGGAGCCTCTGGGGAGGGAGCGGCCCGGGGCTGGGTTAGTGGCCGGGTGGCTCCCGCTCTGGCGACTGCCCGAAGGCTCGGGTTCCGAGCGCGGGCTAGTCTGGAGAGTTTGGCGCCGGCTAACCTGCCCTGCGCTGCTTCTGGGGCTCCCTCTCGCCCCCGTTTGGCTCCGTGGGCAGCAGGGGAGAAGACAAGCCGGTCGGGTGGGGTTGGCGACCGCGGAGGGTCGGGTTTGGGTTTGGTCTCCTAGATTGTCTCCCGCTGGCGCCTATCGGGAGCCTCAAGCGAAGTTCGTGGAGCTGGGCGCTCTGCCTCTGATAATGCGACAGGAGAAGTCACCCTGCCCTGCGCTCCCTTGGCGGGGCTGCAGCGACCCTTGACCCCCAAGGCCAGCCGGAGCATAGTGCAGTCCTTCAAAATGGAATAAATACCTCGGCGTTCCTTGTCCTCAACTTGTGTCCCGTGACAACTAAGTCAAAGACAGTACAATTTACAGTGATCTTACCGTTCAGGTAATGCAGTACTTTTTTTTTTCCCCCACGAAATGGTTTCAGGGAATTTATCTCCCAGCTGATCAAGTTGAGTTTTGTTTACCGAAAAACCAAAATTATTATTATGACAAAAATTATTACAAATAATAATTCAGATCTGGGTAAGCATCTTAGGACCCAAAAGCAGCCATCAGCATGATGTGTGTTTGTAAGGCAAGTTCACGGCTTCAGCCAATCTACTGAAGCACAATCTCTCAATGTCGAGCTCAGAAACCTGTGCTTTTTTTTTTTTTTTATTTTGTATATTTTTTACATCATTCTTCATTTTTGTGCAATGTATGCTTTTTCATCTTGGTTATTGCCCCATGATATTCTCACCACCGATTCACCCATGCACCATCACCATAGTCCCTTGTGCTCTTCCCACCCCTGTTTTGATACTATGCCCCTTTACTCCCCTGTAGAATTTCTCTGGATTATAGTTGCCTGTTGATTTTGATATTTACTTTACTATAATCACTTTTTCCCCCCTGATCCCTTATTTGGATCCTCTACATTCCTCCTGAAAGTGAAATCATCCGGTACTTTTATTTTTCTTTCTAGCTTATTTCACTGATCATGATCCCTTCCAGCCCCACCCATGTTGCTGTGAAAGGCATGAGTTTATCTCTTTCGATTGCTGAGTAGTATTCCATTGTGTGTATGTACCACATTTTCTTGATCCGGTCATCTATTTTTGGGCATTTGGGTTGTTTCCATAGCTTACCTATTGTAAATAGTGCTTCAATAAACACAGGGGTGCAGGTGTCCTTTTGAATTAATGTTTTTGTGTCCTTTGGGTAGATACCTAGGAGTAGAATTGCTGGATCATATGGACGGTCCATTTTTAGCAGTTTGAGGAACCTCCACATAGCTTTCCATAGTGTTTGGACCAGTTTGCATTCCCACCAGCAGTGTAGGAGTGTTGCTTTTATGCCACATCCTTGCCAACAATTGCTGTTGCTATTTTTTTTTTTAATATGTGCCATTCTCACTGGTGTGAGATAGTATATCATTGTGGAAAAACCTATGCTTTAAATGCTTTAAAGTACTCGCGTGATTGTTATGAAAGTTTAGGTTGTGAACCACTAACCTTAATAATCAAGGAATGTTAAAGAACTGCCAGTGTATTCTGTCTATAAAACATTTAGTTATTACACTAGCCACTTGTTTATTGGCAAAACAAACATATTAATTATACCTTTCTTTAAAGATTTATTTATGCATACAAGAGCTGGGGTGCAGGCCAGAGGTGGGGGGGTTGAGAGGATTCACCAGAGACAGTGGGGAACAGAACAGGCAGACTGAGTGAAATACACTGCTGAGGGTAGCAGTGGGTGAGTCAGGAGAGGTCTGCTGCACCATGTGGGTTGCTCCCTGGCTGGCCAGGGATTGAGCTTCTGCTGCAGAGGCTGTGAACAGCTTCATAGGTTGCTTCTTATCCCGTTGTGCCACCAAGGAGGCCCTAATTAAAGCACCAGTAACAAATGATATGTAGGAGAGACACAAGTTTAAATTTAAATAAATAAATAAACAAATACATGCCACATCCCTAACAGGCAGGAGATGATTAAAAGAGAGAATGGGAGATGTTATTGTCATATCTTAAACACGATATTTAATACTACATATTTTTAGTTTGAACCACATAAAATTGCCATTTTTGAATGTCAAAACCTTAATGTCAGCAATATAGTATAATTGTACTCAATATATATGGTTTCCAATTAGAAGTACAGAATGCTTTGGCTTCATTGTTTTTCTTTCTTAGATAGAGCTATTAAAGTTAGTAGTGGGCCTCCCCTGGTGGCGCAGGCAGTTGAGCACTTCTCTGTGAAGCTTTCCGCAGCCTCTGCAGCGCCAGTTTGATCCCCGCAGGCCAGTGAGGGTCCCACATGGTGTGGCAGACTCTCCTGTCGTGCCCTCTGCTCCCCTCATCAGTGTTCCCCCCCTCTGTCTCCAGTGAATCCTCGCACCCTCCCGCGCATCTGGCTTGTATCCTGATTCTTATATAAATAAATAAATCTTTAAAAAAAAAAGTTAATAGTGATATCTAAATGGCAAAATTATTTAAAGGGTTAGAGGAATTGGGGGAGACTACTTTTCTGATCAGATATACAAAAATTAAGTTTCTCATTAAATATTTTATTAAAGTTAGTAACTTTGAAAAATAGTTTTAAGAATTTTTTACTAAAATTAGAGTAAAAGCTTTTGAGCAATATTGCAGCCTTTAATTAAAATATGAGGTTCTGGGTGCAATATAGAAACACTTTTTTATCCAACACATATTATATACTTAGCACTAGAATCCAATTCAGAGAAACAGTAGAAAACATTAGAAAACATTTCCATTAGTTTCCAGTGAGAAAATAGTCTCTTGAGATCACCACATGAGTTAACAGTATAGCTGGAATTCAATTCCAGGATCCCCTCTTCTAATAGCAATGGGATTATAGATTTAAATATTAGCCATAGGGCAAACCACATTCTGTCACACAGAAATGTAAAATAATTAATGTCCCTCAAAATTAATTTTATGTATAAGTAGACAGTGTTCTAAAATTTAAAACCATGGTCACAACTATTAAACCCCAAGGCACATCATGAACTAAATTCTACATTTATTCATTATGAATTCATTGAACATCAGCATTTTTTGAGTAGAACTTTCATACTTGTTGGCAATGTAACAGTTAAAATCCCTATATATAATTTAATGGAGGCGATATTACCATCTTGCAATGTAAGTCCATTTTACCTTCCCTAGATTATTTTAGGAAATACAGCAATACTTCCATGTGAAAACAGCTTTTAACCTCATCTATTATCTCTATGATTACGTTCATCTCTGAATAACTTATCCTGAGGAAATAGGCGCGGGTTTATGATCTCACTAAGACCTCAGTGTCTCAAGATCTGTATGGATTCAGAAGTCTCTCCCAGACATCCTTCCAAATACCTTATTAGAAAAACAAGTTATTTCCAAAGATATCTTTGGAAGTAAGCAAGTCTTGACATCATAAGCAATCTTGTCTTATACTTTTTGAATAGTTGAGGATACAGTTGGTATAAAAACATTCTGGAGCTTGGGGGTCAGCCAGTGTCCATTCAGCGTCACCAGTCTCACTCCATCCCCTACTCCTCCTCCTCTGCTCTGTGCTGAAAGCTCTGGTTTTGAGATATATCTCATATCTGCAGACATGTTTCCCCATGACAAGTATTAGAATGCTGGAAGGTTTACTACTGGGAGGTAGGGAGGGAAATGGTGAAATGTATATGACCTGTTATTTTAGATTCCTTATACTCATCTACCACTTTATTCTTTCTATTACTGTCTCAGCCAATGATGTAATGTCCTCATATTGAAACAAAACACCAGCAGAGAAAGAAAGAAAGGTAAGGAGGAATTGCTAGGTCATATAGTAATTCTGTATTTTAGGAACACTATAGCAACTCTACCATTTTATATTTCTACAACAATGTGTAAGCCTCCATACACCTCCACATTCCTACCAAATCTTACTTTTCATTTTATTTTTATACTAGACATCTTAATGTGAGGATGTGAACTGGAATTACATAGTAGTTTTCATTTGTATTTCCCCAGTGAGGGAAATGAGGTTGGTCATCTTTTCATGTACTTACTGGCCATTTGTAGATTGTCTCAGATAAATGTATAATGTTCATGGCTCATTTTTAAATTGGGTCCTCTTCTTGTTACTGAGTTGCAAGAATTCTTTATATATTTTGAATACTAAACTCTTATCAGATATATGATCTGAAAATGTTTTATCTGATTCTGTGATTTCATTTTCTTGATGATAGGCTTTACTACACAAAAGTTATTAATTTTGATAAAGTTTTATGTGTCAGTTTATTCTTTTGTTCATTATGCCTTTGGTGTCAAACTAAGAATCACTTGTCAAATCCAAGGTAATGAAGAGTTCCCCCTATGTTGTGTCAGCAACACTGCAGTGATAAAGAAAAGAAACAGGAGTCACGGAGCAGGCTGTAGGATGCAGGATGTTGCTCAAGAGCAAGATCCTGGCCTTTTTATTGACAGAGAAAAAGGTGGGTCAAACTGAATACTGGATTTTGGGGCTTTAGAAGAATGAGTCCATGGATGTATTCCAATCCCCGCCCATGGCTCCAATCTTATTAACAAGGAGTTCCATTGATCAGTCCCTGGGCTACAAAGCACATTAGTCCCTGGGCCACAAAGCACATAAGATCACGTGGGTATTGTTCCTTTGTTTTATTAATATGTTATATTACATGGATTGAGTCTTTTATTTGAAGCCACTCTTAGCTCTCAAGTAAGTTTTATCTATCACATGATTCCATTCCATGTGGAAAGGGAATAGGTGTCTCTTCTGATTTTTACTGCCACTTCAAAATCATCTCTGCTCCTTTTTTTTTCCCTAAAAAAATTTACTGTAGTATTGCATTATAACATTATAGAGGTTTCATCATTATAGTTTGGCATTGATACATACCAGATTCTGTGCCTTCTACTTGAAAAAAGTCCACATCTTTTGATGTTGTATTACCTTAGACCATAACACCACCCCTGCTTACCTGTCTCCCTGAAGTTAAGTCTGTGTGTGACTATTGTGGATGACTCTCCAAAAACTCTGGTGTCAAGAATTATGAAAGATGTGAGATTTTTATCCTCCGTTTAAACTTAACAAATTAGTCTCCCAGAGTTTCATACATGGTGGTTGAAGACATAAGATTGCTGGATTAGAGACAAAGGACCTTAATACTCATTGCATAGCAGGTGTTACATAGCAGGTGTTATGAGCTTTATGTTCTCATTGCTTTTACTTGTTTCTTCCATAGCTAATGGGGCCAATGCAAATGCACCCCAAATAGATGCTTCGCACATGTTGGGTTTATATCAGAGCTCAAGAATCTTGAGCTTCAGAAACATCCAACCTTTGCCCCATAGGAGGACGTTATCTTTAGAATATCAAGAAACAAATATTGCCACTACACCAGAGACAGACACTATCTCTGTCTTTCAAAGTTATTATACAAGCATCCTTGAAACAATAATACAGAACAAAAGTTGTTGCAAGACATGCATAGATGCAAGAGACTCCCAAGACCTAGCCCCTAACTCCAATGCTCTTTTCTTACCAACTTCCTGACATCCTATTACACCTGCACCTTGTTGGCAGCATACCAGCATCATATACAAAATATTGATTTTAAGCATTTCAATTTTGATCAAAACCTCCTATTCTTTCAGTATACCATTTAGAATCCTACTGGATCAATTCTTCTACCTCACCAATTTTGCCAATACAGGTACCCAGTTTTCTCAGTATTCATTAATCTTTATAACTCACTTTTGTTCCTAGGTAGCCCAGATTCTACTTTTTTTAGATTTTTATTTATTTATGCATATGAGAACTGGGGTATAGGCCAGAAGTGCAAGGAGTGAGAGGATTCACCAGAGACAGAGTGGGGAGCAGAACAGGCAGATCTACTAAAATACGCTACTGAGGAGAACAACGGGAAAGACAGGAGAGGTCTGCTGCGCCGTATGGGTTAGCTCCCTGGCCAGGGATGGCACTCATGTTGCAGTGGCTGGCAATAACTTGATAGCGTTGAAACTTAACCCCTTGCACCACCAAGGAGGCCCAGATAGCAGATTCTAAAGTCTATCATTATAACCATTCTTTTGTAAACCTCTTTAAATCCCTTACTCCTCTTTCCTACCATGGATTTTCTAGAAATGCCACAATTCTGTTGAGACCCAATTATGGCCTTCTCAGTGCCTACAACGGGAGATCTAAACACTGCTGGAGAAAATGATAATGGATCTAATTACTCCAAACTACCAGGAAAGCGCCTCATTCATTAACTTTGCCTCATTCATTCGTCACAATCTGATAGATGAAATCAGGAATGAATGAAATGAATAGGAACTTCATTTTCTCAATATCAAATCACCATATCTTCCTTGCTCTATTTTTTACTCCTGTCATAATAGGAAAAATTTCTTGCTCCCATTGAAGAACTATGCCATACAAACATGAAAAGTCACATATTGTATGATTCCGTTTATATTAATCCACTATAAACATGAAAAGTCACATATTGTAGGTTTCCATTTAAATGAAATATCCAGAAAGGGTAAATCCACACATACAGAAAGGAGATTAGTGGTTTCCAAGAGGTGGCTAGAATGTAGAGAGGAATGAGGAGTAACTGCTTAATGGGTAAATGTTTCCTTTTGGGGTGATGACATGTTCTGGAAATAGATAAAGATGGTAATTGCACCAACATTGTGAAAGCACCAAATTCCACAGAAATACTCACTTTAAAATAGCTAATTTTGTTATGCAAATATTAACACAATAAAAAAAAGTATCCTTTTTCATGGAATTGTTTATTCATTCTCAAGCGCAATTTCTTTTCTTGTCTCTCCTTTCCCCCTATATATCAGTTTCTTACTTTCTATTGGATTAGCTTCATACATATGGACTCTAGTATTTGACACCTTAAAAGAAAACAACAAACAAAAATCTTTCCTTGACCCTTACTGTATAATCACCTGGAAAACTTTTAAGATGTATCAATGCACGGTGCTCCATCCCCACTTCAGAACAAATGAATCAGATACTGAGGAAAGGAGCACTACACATCAGTATTCTAACTCAACAAGGGTTGAAAATCTTTGAAAGTAGTGGCCGCTCTATTGGAATCTCTTATGAATTTATTTTTTCTAAGATTTATTTATTTATATAAGCACTGGGTGCAGTCAAAAGCGGGGGAGGGTGAGAGAATTTACCAGAGTCAGAGAGGAGAGCAGAGCAGGCAGACTGACAAAGTACACTGCTGAGGGGAGCAGCGGGCAGCAGGAGAGGTCTGCGTGCCATGTGGGACCCTTGCCCAGCAGCCGGGGATTGAACTGGTGCTTCAGAGGCTGTGGGCAGCTTCGCAACCCGGTGCTCAACAACTGCGCCACCAGGGAGGCCCATGAATGTTTTTGTTTTTAACTAACAGAAAATCTAAGAGAAGTTAAAGCAATACGGGATTGTTTTGATCGCATCTACCCAAAGTTTAGAAGTAGGCAGCTGAAGGTTTATATAGCAACTGAACAACGTCAGTGAAAACCAAATCTCTCCCTATCTCTTCAGGGTACCATGCTCAATACATGGGCTCCTTACCCTCTATCTTGATTGATGTTAGGATGTCTGCCTAATGTTATGTCCTCTCTCCAGCATCCCAAGTAGAAGGGAAAAGGTGAGACAAAAGCTTTCTCTTTATGAAGTTTTATTTACCTTGGAAATGAAGCCCTCCATCAGACTTCCCATTCTGCATCATTAGAAAGAACTGGATCATACATTTGGCATTCTCAGTGTACGTAATTTTTTTTCATGCCTTTTTTTCCCAGAATGATCAGAGCACCTTCTACTTTGGAGAAACTTGGTAGTATTTGTGGACTTGATAGTGCTCATGATCTGTTGCTCTTTTGCTCCCTGTCATAAAAGATAATTTTCTTTTCTTTTCCCTCTTATCTTTATCCATATTTCTGTGTATGTCAAACTTACAGGACAGATGAGGCATCAACATCTTTGATAATTACCTTAAGTAGAGAAAAGGAAGCTTTACCAGGGCTCTTGCATTTCTTGTAGAAAGGTAACTATCAGCAAGTTAGAGAATAAAGGATATGTGAATGATGATGGTGACAGTAGGGGGTAGAAAAAATATTACCTACTGTGGGCTGAAAATTTAAGGAAAACAGTAATTAAAGAGTTACCTAGGGTAAGCTGGAACAAGGGCTAGGGAGAATAAGGTTTAATGTTTGAATTCATTGAATCAAAAAGGCGGAAGAAAAAAGGTTACAGAAAGGCAAGAAAAATGGATTTTCTTTTTTCTCTGGAGACTTTCAGCACCAAGAGATGAGTTTTAAGGGGGTAAAAATGGGCCAATATACCTTTACCCAAAGAAAAATAGTATAATCTTTTCTGAAATTTAACCAATGAATTCATCACTTGGTTTGAATTTTCTCAATGTTGTAGTGACTATCCTTCCTTCACCCCTCCTATATTTCTGGCTTTTGCTTAGCTAGGTAAAGCAACTTTCCCTCCTTTCTTGTACCTATAATTTTCTTTGACTCTATAGCTTTCACAAGTGCCCTATGCACCTGCTCTGCTAAGCTATACTACTCCTCTTTCCATACCATGTAGTTTTGGTACTTCATGTTCATATTTGATCCGACTTTGAGGTAACTTCAAAATGCATTTCAAAGCTGAGTTTTTAACAAATCTCTTCAGAGCACTTTGCACGCATTACCACACCATAACCACGAATTTGTGAATATTATAACCCCTTTTCATTCGTCCTTTTTACACTTACTAAAGTGTAAGTTCCTCTCATTAACCTTAACCACTAACTTGGAAAACAGTCAACACTTCATGTTATTCCTAGTGTCTGGAGATGTGTCAAAAAACATTATTATTGCTTATTGCCCAGCACCCAGAGGAGTACACGGCACACAGAATGTGTTCAATATTAGGTGTCTGGACGCATAACTGAAACATTGTGTCTGAAGGAGTTCATGTGATATTTATGAAAGCAGTACTAATCGGTGGAACAAGCAAACTACTTTCGAATTACTAAGTAGCTAATTGATGATACCTGTTCTTGTTTCAACCAAGACGTACACCAACTGAGGACTTAATCGCTTAATTCTGAAAGGTTCAGCATTTTGCCTTAAAGTATTCATATACTGAACGAAAGCATCCAGATAGTTTGCAGTAGTTACGTCAAAAAGGTTACCAATTCTGGGCCTCCCCTGGTGGCGCAGCGGTTGAGCGCTGGGTTGCGAGGCTGCCCGTCAGCCTCTGCAGCGCCAGTTCGATCCCCGACCACCGGCGAGGGTCCCCCCCCAAAAAAAACACAACAACCCCCCGCAGCTCTCGGCAACCTCCACGTCCCTAAAATCCAGGCCGTAAGTCATGGCGGGCCACGCCTCCGCCTCCTCTAACCAGACCAGGCCCCGTGCAGACCATGCTTGATGTCGCGGACAGCGCCCGTCGTCCAGGCCCGGGTCA